TTCTTTACTATGACCCAAAGTCCTTTTCTCAGAGACTGTCTATTCTCAAGGGCAGCTATGATGGAGAAGAGCTGAAGGAGGAGAGGGACCGCCAGAAACAATCATTGTCGCTTCCCAGTCTGGCGCATAGATTGTAGCCTCCTTGGATCTTGTGGAGAAGAGATGGGCTCAGCAAGAGCTGGGTCGGTGAGTGGTAGTCCCATAACCAGCCACTAGAGGGCACCAGGTGCCTTTTCTCTGAAGTCTGCATTGCCTTGTGGATTTCAATGTATTTGCAGCAAGAGGAGCCTCACAGGAGCTGGATCTGTGTCACCACGTGATTGTGAGCTGACCTGTGGACATCTTAAGCACTGTATGCAGGAAATGGAAACAGTTGCCTTCAGCATCAAGTGAACATGAATATGACAGCTACGAATTGCAGTGCCAGACTAGTAGCTTGCTTGAGGTTCAAACCTATCCTTTTCTAGGCAGACATTTTTCAGAGGATAAGCAAAAGTTACTTAGATAAATAGCCTGGATGGGGGCTGGATCCTTAGCTGATGAATGAACCATTTTACCAATGCAGTGTCTCACACAGCATAAATCACCATAAGGGTATGCTGCATAAAATTATGCTTCCATCCCTACATTTCTGGAAACAACAAGCAAGGAGGCGTGGGCAGGATCTTGACCTGTGAATCTTTTTGTCACTGAGAACTTTCCCTGTGCTTCTAAGAACCTCCATACTGCACTTCCAGACAAAGCTTCCCTCAATAGAGCAACTTCATCCCATCAAATGGAGTCACTGCCTAGCCTAGACCTTCAACTGCCCGAAACATACATGAAAACTGTTCAGAGCCTTTTGCTGGATCCCTAGTAGAGTTGTATCCAACCTGCAGCCCCTGAGCATTTTGAACATAGCCCTGGGTCCTACCACAAGTTGCCATCAAATTCTCATTTGGATTATTATAGGAAGGAAATATTAACTATATGGCGAATAATCACACCAATTGTACTTTATGGATTTCATTTACATTTAATGAAATCTAAGTTTCTTTTGTGTGAGGACCCTGCATACAACCTGTGAGTGTGTACTAAACTTAGGATGAACAAAAGGTTTCACCCTTCTTCTCCCACCATACAATAAAAAGTAGCAATGTTACCTCTGAGATGAGCTTAGCTCCTGATGACTTACAATTTCCTTGGGATGTTTTTTTTTTTAACTTCCCAGCTCTGGACTTCCCAGCTGGTTCTCCATCCATGGATTAACCAGGCTCAACTGTTCAGCTCCCAAGATCAGTCACAGTCTGCTAGATGCTGCTGAGCCCTCACCTCTTTGAATTAACCCATTCAAGGGCACTTTGTGGACTATAACAATAACAGATTGTTATTGACTCTAGCAACAACAATGACAATAACAGCTGGTTTCCAGAAACTGATGATCCCAGAACTTGTGAACCTTTGATTATGTAATGGGATGGGGAGAAAAACTGTCAGTGCACTCTAAGCTCAATATTAAATGTTTCGTGCGAGTCAGGTCTATCAGCATCACACCTCAGAATGACGCGACACTCAAGGCTTTCATCAAAAAAAGGGTATTAAATTGGGGTTCTTTTGAAAGCAGGTGATTCAACTCTCAGCTGAGGACAGTAGCTGAGCGTCTTCCAAGACACAGGAACCAATGGAGTCCTGTGTTCAGCTGGTACCAAATGTATTCCAGATTTTATGTCATTAATTTATTTATTTCCAGACCATCGTTCATCCAAGAAGCTGTGGGGCAGCTGGTTTTTCCCTTCACTAAGTGTTCTTTACAATAATCCTGTGAGGTGGGCTAGTGTGAGAGAGAACTGGCATCCCAGGGCTATTGAGTGATCTGGGATTTGAACTTAGATCCCATCTGACATTCTTATTTCTTTTCTAGATCTCATTAGTTTAAGAAAAAAATCTCTTGGTTTACATTTAAAGGCAAACTTAACTAATTTTGTACTTGCAACATGAAATCCAAATATATTTTAAAATTCTCTAAAATGTATGATGCAGGTCTCCAATAAAAACGTAGACAAAAAGGAATCCTATTGAAGCTGTGATGCTCACTTTTGGCCTCTCTTGGGGTGGTAGCAGTTCAAAGTAGGCGAAGATTCTCAATCTACTCCATCTGGAGAGTGTCCAGCTGATGGTGACAGGATATGAAAATGCTGACATGAGTAAAATAGTTTGGACAAATTAGGCCAAAATGCTTATATTAGACAAAATCTCAGACAAATA